AGTAGCAGTAGAAAGAGCAGTAGCAGCAGGAGAAGCAGTAACAGCAGTAGCAGCAGTAGCAGCGCGGGCAAGGCAGTGCTCACCAGTGGCGAGAAGGGCAGGCGCACGACGGCGGCGACGGCGGGGCCGCTACCACTGCAGGGCTCCGCGGCAGCTGCTGAAGGGCGGGGCAGGTCCGCGACGGCCGCTGCTGCAGGGCGGGGCAGGGCCGCGACGGCAGCTGCTGCAGGGCGGGGCAGGGCCGCGACGGCAGCTGCTGCAGGGCGGGGCAGGGCCGCGACGGCAGCTGCTGCAAAGCGGGGCAGTCCGCGACGGCCGCTGCTGTAGGGCAGGGCAGGGCCGCGACAGCAGTTGCTGAAGGGCGGGGCAGGGGCGGCCGTCCCAAGGGCGACGCCACGCGGGTCCCGCAGGGGCGTCGCGACGAGCGGGGGCGACGCCCGGGTCCCGTTGGGGCGTCGCGACGCGCAGGAGCCGCGCCACGCGGGTCCCGCAGGGGCGTCGCGACGAGGCGGGGGCGACGCGCGGGTCCCGCAGGGACGTCACGACGAGGCAGGGGCGACGCCCGAGTCCCGCAGAGGCGTCGCGATGAGCAGGGCGACGCGTCGCGGGGTCCAGGGGCCGCGCCGCGGGGTCCAGGGGCGGCTGCGCGGGTGTAGGGCAGGCCCGCGCGCGGCCTGCAGGGCAGGGCGGCAGGGTGGCGCTCGAGGGCGCGGGTAAGCAGGCGCTCAAGGGCGCGGGTAGGCAGGCGCTCGAGGGCGCGGGTAGTCAGGCGCAAGGCATGTGTCAGGGCAGGCAGGCACGACGGTGCGATTCGGGCAGGGCAGAAAAAAAAAAGTTCGTGGTGGGCCCTAAAAAAAAAACCGGTCCCACTAGGGAACCTGCTCTGAAACCATGTGAAAACGATAGAACAAGGAATGATTGACTAGGAAATGAGTTGGGTATAAGTATCAAACCCTAGGAAACTGTATCCCTTAGTGTCTACCCCACTACAGCCTAAATAGGCTATATGATAATTGTTTGACATATACCTGCATGTTTGCACTTGCTAGGTTGTGATGAGTGTACTGCAATTGCTATTATAAACTCTGCATGTGAACTGGCCTTATGGACGCTTGCTTGTGCTCAAAATGTGTGGTGATCTTGCACCCTGAGCTTTGCTTTTGCTTAGCTTCTTCTCTAAACTGGTCTTGTGACCACTTGTAGTCCCCCACTTCGCCTATGGGAGTGTGTCAAAACATGTTTATATGATATTAGTTCTGTTAGGTTGCAGTGTGGTACCTTGTATAGGGTACAACACAACTCTCTCGATACTTGTACCCTAATGCCTTACTAGTCTACCATTCCTAGTTCTAACAACAATACCATATAATAAGACCCCCCCCCCCCCCCCCTCCCCAAATCTTTCTTGTAGTTTTCATAAGGCCCTAGGGTCTTATAACCGGGTGATTACTGTTTACAATTTTATACATACCTAAATTGTTTGTTTGCGGGAGATATAAAAAAAACATTGTCTGAAAAAACAGACTAACCTGTTAAAATTAGGAGATACTAGGGCTTAGGACTTTGGCTTAGGATGGCGTGAGAGAGTAGGCAAAAGAGGGTTGGACTATCGAGAGGAACAAACAAGTACAAGCAAAGAACAGCAAGAGAGGGTGCACCACCAAGTATGTTACTACACATATGCAGCAAGGTATATATGAATATAACTTTAACACACCCCCTTAACTTGCTTGCAGCAAGAACTAGTGCAGGAACACACCCCCTTAAGGGGGACACCGGGGAGAAGGAAGTGAGGATTGAGAGTGAAATGGGCGAGGAGGTGGGGAGCGGCGGCTGAAGTTGCTAGCACACTGGCATCTGGAGCAATTGGCTCACGGACTACTGGGATAATGGACTCGTACGCCTGGAGCATCCCGCTCGTACGGCTAGAGCAACTGACTCACGGGCGACTAGAGCAATGGGCTCACTGGCGACTGCGCTGCTGGCTTTACGGCACCCTCCACCCCCCAACCTCTCCAACCTCCCTCTCACAACAGTGGAGACGGTTGGAGGAGCAAACAAATGGAGGAGAAGGCAACTTGAAAACGGAGAGGAGGGAGGACTAGAGGAGAGGAGAGGAGAGGCGGCTGGAGGAGACGAGAGGTGGCTGGAGGGCGGCGGCCTAATCATACCCGCCACCCCCACACCTCCCCTCCTCCCCCGTTGCAGTGGCCTAATCGCATTTGGGTACCGGGCTACACCTTATCACAGGAATTACTGCTAGAAGAGGCACACGACGGAGTTACCTCATGACATTTTGAGGTCGAAAAAACATGGCAGCAGCTGCAGCGATATTACAACTGACCCGAGATGCTGATTGACGTACAGCAACATGTGTCATCGTGTCCCACCTGCCAACTCATGAAGTCATCACGGAAACGGCCTGCACGACAGTTGCAGCCGATACCACCATCGAAGCATGCTTGGCAGCACGTGACGATGGACTTCGTCACGGGGTTACCGGCTGGGGCGAGTAGGAACGGCACGATCCTGGTCGTCGTCGATCGGTTGACGAAAATTGCTCATTTCGCAACATGTTAGAAGTCAATCTCAACCGAAGAAACGGCCTGACTGTTTATCTCCACCGTCGTTCGGCTGCACGGGATACCCCCGGCGATCATTAGCGACCGTGACACAACATTCACCAACGTGGGAGGAACCCGTGGCAGCAGTTCGGCACGTGCCTACAGTTCAGCTCGTCATACCGCCACAAAACAGACAGACAAACGGAACAGGCCAATCTGAGAATGGAGCAGTTAATCCGATGCACGTGCGACGACCCGGCAACGTGGGAGCAGCACTTGCCACTCATCGAATTCGCGTACAAAATTTTCACATCAATACGCAACGGTCACCGTTTTACCTCAACTACACACAGAATCCTACGGTCCCGACAACCCGGTCCCACGTGCACAACAGTTCGCCGAAATTTTACAGGCCGCCCGGACTCGAGCGGCAGACGCCAGAGAAAAAACAAACATCATCGCTAAACGCAACGCCAATCGCTATCGCCGCCCCATCACTTACCAGCCCGATGACCTCGTTCTACTCGATCTCAGGACCTCCGCGTGCCCGTCACTCCAGAAATTCGCCCCCCATATTGTGGGCCATTTCGCATCAGCCACATGATCACCCCCGTCACCGCCCACCTCCTCCTACCCGCTAACTGGTTCGTCAGCCCGTCATTACATGTCTCGTAAACCAGTAAACTACCGGGCAGCCGCCCCGCCAACGGAGTCGATCATCACACCCGAGAAGATCCTGAGCCACCGAGTTCGTGACCCACGTGGAGCTCATAGGATCAAATTTCTGGTTCGCTAGAAAGACCGCTTCCGCACCACTGGGTGCCCCTGGATAGAATCGAGAACCGCCATGTCCTCATCGAAAATCTGCGCATCCACTATTTTCGGGATGTACACGAACTCTCGTAGGGAGGGCCTCCTTGGGGAGGGGGATAGTGTAAGGAAAATTCATTCCTTACTTCGTGCCCCTGCTTATAGCGTACCCAACAGCTCCCGCCAACAGTACCTAAACTGTGCACAATTACCACTTGCGACATTCGCCTCGACTACTTTTCCCGCCACAGTTCACATCGCAGCCCAGCCTCACGGTTCTGTTGGTAACCCGCGCTCCGGTCCTCCGCCTCGGCAAATCCCAACCTTGGCGCTAACGCACTCAATTTCTCGCGTTAATGTTACCACCAGGCCCTCAGATATCAGCGTAAAACACGCTGATTATGCTGATTTTGTAGCTGTGATTTTCGTTTTCCCTGAAAATTCAGCATATGCTTCAAATTTGCACTGAAATTTCAGTATAACCTACCTTGCCACACTGACCATTTTCTGTGTTGCTGTACAAGTAACACTGACGAATCAGTGTAGTGTCGTGAGTCACACTGAAACGGACAAGACCGATTCGGGGGGGGGGGGGGGTATGCGTGTGTACAGTCTGTATCTGGCCCGGGATTCACGAGACCCCACCAGGCTGTACCTGGCTCGGAATCCACGAGACCTCACTCACACACTTGGAGATGCCATGCACTGTACAGATCGCGTGCCGACGTGTTTTGCATCGCTGGAAGGAACTCTCACAGCGACAAACTTTGAACGGGTGATTCAACTTGTATTTCCTTTTTACACTTATCGTTCAGTTTACTTATGATTTTTACACTGGCAAAATCAGTATAAAAAAACCATGAATGCTGATTTGGACACCTGGGCGGCCGGGGCACGCTGATCCATCAGCATACCCTCAAACCTATCTGAGGGCCTGGTTACCACGCTAGCTTTGCTATATAGGTATATTCTTCACTTACCTTCGCTCAGTGTACTGTTTTGCTTTGGTATTGCAATTCTTGCTCGCTCGCTCAATTGCACTCATAACAAGTTCTCTTTTTGAAGGAATGGCAAGATACTTTGTACAAAAATCAATAGTGCTGCTAGTCATTCCCTGTTGTAGATCACAGGTACCCATACTACATAGAAAGTTACAAAGCAATCAATTCTTATATTACCAGCACAAAACTGTTCTATTCTAGCCAGCCCTGTACTCTCAGGGGTACTAGAACTAACATTCCCAATTTCAGATGTCTTACAATTGTAACCAACCCCACAGAAAACAAACAAAAGCAAATTACACGACCAACCAACTAACACCAGAATCGGCCAAAAGCAGCCAGAAAACAAGAAGCCATGTCATCCCCCCAACGCAGGTGATGCATGGAGTGCCTGACCCATTGTAAGGCAAGGCCCAAGGGTCAAACCTTTCCTCTCCATCCTCCCTTTCATAAGCACTAAAGCCGGGGCAGTCATGATGCACGCAATTCACGGCTTCAGCCTCGGCTTGTTGTACCAATTTTTGCATGAAAAAACAGCTGGTAGACTAGGTGATGGGATGATGGGAGTGGCTGTTGAGATGACGGGACTGGCTGATGCGGGTGGGCCGTCATGGCATAGATGAGAATGGTCATCACAGGAGTGGATGTGCCTCGCTGCGGCACCTTGTTTGCTGAGGGGGGGGGGGGGGCGAACAAGGGGATGAACGGTGAAGGGTCAAGCCGAAGGGGTGGAAAACCAATGGTGCAGGAGTTCATGGGGAAGAGGTGGGGAAGGGAAGAGGGATGGCGGAAGAGGTGGGGAAGCGAAGAGGAGTGGGAGGGGGAGAGAGAGAGATCCATGGGTTGGGTAATAGAAAACGAGAGTTGAAAGTACGATGGGTCGATTAACATTGATTCATCAACAAGCAAACCTCAAACCCGAGGAACTTACCAGGACAGTTGGAAACCTCTACCACCCCCACGAAGTGAAGCAGTACCAGCATTCTGCAAAGTAGTTGGGGAGAAAGAACGTGGCAGAGCGAGTCAGGAATAGTGAGATCAGGGGTGGGTGGATGTAGAAACAGACATTTCGTGTGGCTGCTGAGTAGGACAATGAACTGTAACACACCAAAGGGAGATAAAATTGGACATGATAGATTTAGGCAGGATTGTCAGGGGGAGGATTGAACAAGAAACAAGAATAAAGGGATGCACAAGTGGCGGGCAGCACAGCAGCGCTTCAAGGCAGCACAGCAGCGCTTCAAGGCAGCACAGCAGCGCTTCAAGGCAGCACAGCAGCGCTTCAAGGCAGCACAGCAGCGCTTCAAGGCAGCACAGCAGCGCTTCAAGGCAGCACAGCAGCGCTTCAAGGCAGCACAGCAGCGCTTCAAGGCAGCACAGCAGCGCTTCAAGGCAGCACAGCAGCGCTTCAAGGCAGCACAGCAGCGCTTCAAGGCAGCACAGCAGCGCTTCAAGGCAGCACAGCAGCGCTTCAAGGCAGCACAGCAGCGCTTCAAGGCAGGCAGCATCACTCACCATCAATGCACGAGTTGCCATCCCAGCGGGTACCCGGAGCACAGTTGATCACGTTGACGCACGAGGTGCCATCCCACTCGGTGCCCCAGTAGCACTGGATCGTGAGCATGCACGAGCCACCATCCCACGTGTAACCGTAGTTGCAAGGGTTGACGCACGAGTTGCCGTCCCATACGAGACCCCAGTCACACGCGCTGACGCAACCGTAGCCATCCCATACGAAACCCGGGTCACACTGGTTCACAGGTTGGCTGCTGACGCACGTCCTGCCATCCGACAGCAAGTCGAATCCCGAGTCACACACACAGGTAGCCGCGTTATCACCAGGAGCACACTGGCTGTTGGCACCACAGTTCTGGATCTCACAGACACCTGGGTGGGGAGAGAGGCAGTAGCGAGGGGAGAGGAGAGGAGGGTTGGAGGGAGCATGGAATAAGAAGGAATCACAGCAGCACAGAGAGTTGCGCACACAATCACTTCTTTCATCACAAACCAGATCCACCCACACGCACGTGCGCACACACACACACTCTTAACAGACAGCCACAGAATGAAGTGCGCACTACGAGAGCACAACCGGCGCATACCAGTGCATTTGCCCTGTGCCGTGGCGAATCCAGCCTTGCACTCGCAGGTCGCAACGCTCCCATTCTTGACACAAGTGGAATAAGGGTCAGAGCCTTGGCAGTCCTTGACGATGCACACATCTGATGGGAGGGGCGGGGCAAGTGAAAGTGTAACAAGAAGTTAAGGAAGGTGTAAATTCTAAGAGACCAGCAACACCAATGGCAAACAGCACTGGCATATGGTATGAGCGGCTCAAAAGCACATAGCATCACGGGCGCAAGGAACACATCATACACGAAGCATCTGATGGGAGGGACGGAGAGGATCGAAGACGGAAGAGAGATGGCAAAGGAGGCTTAAAAGAGCTGACCTTCCACACTCGGTCAAGAGCTATGAGAGCAGTGCAGGTTGAGAGAGCTGTGAGAGCAGTGCAGGTTGAGAGAGCTGTGAGAGCAGCGCAGGTTGAGAGAGCAGTGCAGGTTGAGAGGGCAGTGCAGGTTGAGAGGGCAGTGCAGGTTGAGAGGGCAGTGAGCATTGAGTGTCAATTATAGAGCACACTACACGTACCAGTGCAAGTCCTGCCATCCGCCTGCAGCGCAAAGCCAGTGTCACACACACAGGACGCCGCTCCAGTAGCGCTCTTGACGCACTGGCCGTTCCCACCACAGTCGTGAATTGTGCAGGTGTCTGGGTGGGTGAAGGATTGGGAAAGAGAGGGGAGGAAAGGTAGTGAGGAGAGAGAGGGAGTGTAAAAGAAGCTTAACAGAGCAAAGAAGGTACACACACTTCCACAAACTGAAGCACATAACCATGCGCGCAAGCTCATGAACACACACGCACACAAGTGCGAGTTGATCCTGCCAGCAGCACGGCAGGTTGAGCACACAACAGGTCGATTGCTAGTGTTGAGCACACAACAGGTCGATTGCTAGTGTTGAGCACACAACAGGTCGATTGCTAGTGTTGAGCACACAACAGGTCGATTGCTAGTGTTGAGCACACAGCACGTACCCGTGCACGTCTTGCCATCCGCCTGCAGCGCAAAGCCAGTGTCACACACACAGGACGCCGCTCCAGTAGCTTCCTTGACGCATGTGCCGTTCACACCACAGCTCTTAATCTCGCAGGTGTCTGGGTTGGGGGAGGGGTGACGGAGAGAGGAGAGGAGGGTTGAAAGAGAGCAGAGAACTGCATACGCAATCACATGCACACAGACACCCACACACACACACACCCACACACACACACGAACACACACTGGGATCAGTGAACTAACCAGTGCATATGCCATTTGCCATGGCGTATCCAGTCTTGCACACGCAGGTCGCAAGGTTTCCTGCCTTGACACACGTCGAATAGTGGTCAGAGCCTTCACAGTTCTTGATGATGCACACATCTGACATGAGCAGTGGAGAGGATCAAACAAGGAGAAGTAAAAAAGATGTCAAAAAGAGGCTGTAGTGACTGGAAACTAAGAGGAGCACTCCATAAGCAGCCACCAGCACAGCACACACCAGTAAGTAAATGTGGCTCAAAAGCACATAGCATCACGGGCGGAAGGCACACATAATACACGGAGCATACCAGTGCAAGTCCTGCCATCAGCCTGCAGCGCAAATCCAGTGTCACACACACAGGACGCCGCTCCCTTAGCGTCCTTCTTGCACTGGCCGTTCACACCACAGCTCTGAATCGCGCAGGTGTCTGGGTGGGGAGAAGGGTGGCAGAGAGAAGGGGGAGGAGTGTTGGGAGAGGAGAGGGGGGGATTCAAGGAAAGGTGGGACCGTATGTTACGTGAGAACGAAAACAAAGACACTCAGACACAGAAGGAAATGCAGGTACACGGACACATAACACATCACGTACCAGTGCAAGTCCTGCCGTCCGCCTGCAGCGCAAAGCCAGTGTCACACACACAGGACGCAGCTCCAGTAGCGTCCTTGCTGCACCGGCTGTTCACACCACAGTTCTGAATCTTGCAGGTGTCTGGGTAGAGCAACAGGAGGAGAGAGGCGGAGAGGGGATGGAGAGGAGAGGACAGAAACCAAGGAAATGAAGGTCGAGTGAGACCGGACACAAAGACACTCAGAGACACAGAAGGAAATCCAGGTACACGCACACAAGCTGGGCCGAGCAAACGTACCAGTGCAAACGCCCGGCGGATTTAAGGCGTATCCAGTCTTGCACACACAGGATGCCACACCGTTGGTCTTGATGCAAGCAGAGTTGGCATCATGGCCCTCGCAGTCAGCGATCACACATATGTCTGCCAGGAGGGTCGGAGAGAATTGAACACCAGCGAACACTACAGAAGCACGCACCAGCACAGGATCTTAAGTTTAGGTAATTGAAATTAACACCAGCAAGCACTACAGAAACCAACACCAGCACAGCGCAGCACCCAAGCACGTGCAGGGCGCACCTTTGCACGTGTGGCCGTCAGGCTGCAAGGCGAAGTCAGGGCGGCAAGCACAGGACGCGCCGCCAGCGGCGTCCTTGCTGCACGTGGCGTTGACACAGTCCTTTAGCACACACGTGTCTGCACGTGCAGAGTGACACGAGCAGGTGAGGTGGAAGAGGGAGAGGGGAACAGGGAGAGGAGAGAGGTCAATGATGCGAGAGAAGATGAGAGTAGAGCAAGCAGCACAGTAGCAACAGTCAGGAGGGCAGCAGGAACAGAGCACACAGCAGCAGGCAGCACAGAGCAGGGCGGCATTCAACAGTAAGAAGGGCAGCACTGACCAACGCAGCCGGTGGGCGTCATGGCGAATCCCGAGCTGCACACACACGTGGCGAGGCTGCCCTTCTTCACGCACGTGGCGTTGGCGTCGCACACCTTGTGCGCGCATGAGTCTGGCGTGTGGGGATCACGCATGGTGGGGGTCACGGATGGTGGGGGTCACGGATGGTGGGGGTCACGGATGGTGGGTAGATACAGAGCAATGCACACACTGTACACGAGGCGTTGGGGTCGCACACCAGTTGCGCGCACGAGTCTGCAGAGTGGGCCCAATGCAGGCCGTGCAGGGTGGCATTCGCTGATGGTGGGTAGATAGACGCAGAGCAATGCACACACGGCGGAGTGGATGGAAGTTGGCAATGACCAGAAACGAGCACGTGGAGTGCACGTGGATTAGTCGTCTGGCTTCCCTGGGGGCAGCACTAACGGGCGCAGGAGGCGAGCGGCACTTACGGGCTTGCGCCACTTCGCTGGCGTGCGGCACTTGGCTGGGGGCGGCAGTACGGGCACAGCCGCTCTTGACGCACACGCAGTCAGCCGAGCCCGCTTTGTCCTTGACGCATCTCGAGTTGCTGCCGCAGTTGCGCAGCACACACGTGTCTGGAGCAGGCAGGTGACACGTGGAGGACACACGTGATGCAGGCACGTGGCACATGCAGGCATGAGGGAGGCACAGGCAGGAGCAACCGAGGAAAGAGACACTGGATTTGGGAGCCTGTGAACGAAGCAGACCAGTTGGCATTTGGGAATGCAAAAATGCTGCAAAGCACGCAGAGAGAGATGGGTAATTCTCAGGACTATCAATCAATGCAAGGACCGTTTGATAGATGCGTGACCCACCAGCGCAGTTGCCTTTCGCGTCCCTGCCCTGGCCCCACTTGCAGGGCTCATTCGATGGCTGCCCGCGGATGGCCTCCGCCATGGGCGCACAGGCTGGCGCGCAGGGGGGAGAGGGGAGACGGGGAGGGGGAGAGGCGGAATGGGGAGATGGGAAGGAGAGGGAAGTAAAGAGGAGAGCAGTTGCAAGGGTGGAGAGTACAGAAAGGGTCTGAGAGCGTGAGAGCAAACCTGAGAGCATACTTGGGAGAGCATGGGAGCATACCTGAGAGCATGAGAGCAGCCAGTGCAGCGAGCACGAGGCGACGCGAACCCATCATGCTGATGCTGCGGATCCTGATGAGGAGTCTGGTGCTGACGTGCTGATACGGCTGATGATGCGATGATGTGTTGGTGTGGCGCTGGGGATGACTGCCCGGGGCAGTCTCTCCGAGGGAGAAGAACAAGTCGGCTGGGAAGCACAAGCTTGCAGTGAGACGGCGCGCGTGAGACGGGCCGAGTACTTGACTTGAGACTACCGTGAGACAATCTAGGACTAAAACCCTGGCAGGGTTTGGCGCGCAAAGTAGGGGTGGTAGCCCTTTCGAGGAGTGGTGACTTGCAAGCACTACTGGCGATACTGAGTGGTAATGCGCCGCAAGCACAGCTTATATACTATGCGACGGACTCCCGCCATCCTTCCCCCTTCCCTTCTTCCCCCCTCCTCCCTTCGGAACCTTCCCCTGAGAGGCCTTCCCCTATGCAGAGCCGAGACCAGACCCCAAGCTCACGGCACCCTTCGACTGCGCTAGCACTAGCAGTGGTGTCGGCCTATCAATTCGCGATGAGAGCATATTCTCCGCGGATAAAGCATAGCCTCCGCCGGCTCGCGCATCGACCCGGGGGGGGGGGAGGGGGGGGGGGAGGGGAGGGGGGAGGCGGAAGTTGACCTTGCATCTTATCGGCGGCGCGGCGTACTTCCTGCGGGAGTGTTCGGCTTGGAAGCTACGAGGCTTTTCTCCCCTCCAGTGGAGGAATTGGGATGCGCGAGAACGTCACGCGCCGCTGGCGCGCGGAAAATTGGTGCACCTCTCCGCGCAGGCGCCGCCGTACAGCCAGCGAGGCATACTTCTGGCTCTGCGTGGATCCTTGAAGACGTTAAGACAACTGGTGTGAACCAGCGAGGCATGTTTCTGGCTCTGTGTGAGTTCCGCCGTGTGAGTCTTGAGGAAACTATTGTACTACTATTGTATACGGCGTGGGCCAGCAAGGCTTCACTCGCTCCAAAAACAGAGGCTCGCGTGGCCAGCAAGCCACGGCAAAAGGCAGGCTGGATCCACTAACGACACATCCGCCTTGTCGGTTAGCTTGACAGCGGTGCGGGTCTATCTGGAGTAAGGTAATGCGTTGAAACTCGGCTTGTCGCCTTTCACGCCGCAAGCGATCCAGCACGGCAAAAACAGGTTGAGTTGAGATAGCCACTTGTGAGGAGTGTGTGTGACCTGTCTCTGTCGGACTCAAAGTAAAGTACGTTTAGAGAGAGACAAAGAGAACGATATTGGCGGCGCGGGGAATGCTTCCTGAATTTCCTAAGTAGCTTCGAGTAACCGCGCCGCGACACCGTCCTTGGTCGGGCTCAGTCTAGATTAGCCTATATTTGCGCAGTCGTGTATTGCGGGAATGTTTTTTCGTGTGAAAATGCATCTGACAGACGTGCGCCATGGGGTGGAGGGTTGTGTCGTGGTGATGGGCAAGTTCCGCGCCGTAGTTTTGGGGGTGGAGGTCTCTCTGTTGGAATACGTGTGAGCGTGTCGCGCCCGTACGTTCATCTGGAACTGATTTCTCCCTCATCAGCACAAATAGCAACCTCTGCAGTGAAGGCCGACGGCCAAGTCCAGCAGTGCGTGGTTGAAGAAATGTGACGCGCGAAGTGGCGAACACCGTTAACCAGTAACGGGCGAAAAAACGGTCGGACCTGTACGCGTTGCTGAGGTGTGCAAAAAGGAATGTCAAGAAAATTCCCTACACTATTGAAGTAATTTTGACGTTTCCCACACCTAAAGAAGTCGGATTACGTTACAAAGAGTAGGTACAACCCGAACCCTGAAATACGAAACCGATTATGCTCACAAATCCTTACTGTAGCACTCCCTAGCGAGTACAACCACGTGTGCCGCGCGACAACCTGGTTCGACCTATTTCGTCCAAACCACCCTCGAGTCGCCTTCGCACCAATCGCTACACTTCCGAACCATCCTCGCTCGACCTCCCCCGCCTAGCTAAGATTCCCTATTTAATCGCGCTACATTCGTTATATTGTCAAAAAATTGATCACAACCTCGTTATTCGTTTTTTCTTTGCACTCTGCAAGTTTATTCATAACTGGTAACAGAGCTACTTTCCTAGCTTACCCCGTTATTTAGAGTGTACCCTCGGTGGGGGTGGGGGGAGGAGGGGGGACAAGGAAAGATGTTGGGGTCCAGGAGTTGCAAGTAGGCCGACCAGGAGAGCGAGTTGGTTGCTCCTCGAGGCCATAATTTTACGGGGCACTCCTTGGCACCTCCAGATCCTTGCCTTGAACAGTCACTATGGACCGTGACCTCCCTTCCCCCAGGCAACGGAGAGCTCTAGCAGTGTCACTACGTTAATGGGAGTAATTTCCGGTGCGTTTTCGACGCTTTCAGAGGTTGATGCGTTTGGCAGCTGGCGTAAGCAGACCTGCATCAGCATCTGCACAAACATCCAGCCGTCATCATGTGTGGGAGCTGGCGACGTCGGACCTGCGTCGGCATCTGCATAAACATCCTCAACGACGTCTTCATGTGTTGACGGGAGTAGGTTGTTGGCCCCGCCCTCGCTTGGGCGACGCTGACTTCCTGGTCGGGCGCGCGGGTGGTGCGGCCGAATGTTCTGCTGGTCGATGTGTGCTGGTCGACAGGGCTGTCGACCCGCAGGCGACCATTGCAATGCCGCCGTCGATTGGAGTCGGCGGTCTAGTTCGACAGGGGGAGGTCGACGGAGCAGTCCGTCGATCTGCGTGTGGCTCTTGGGCAGCTGTCGAGGATGGGAGCTCGACGACTGCAGCTAACCTTGTTGGTCGACGAACGGGCTGTCGACCAGACTAGTTCGCCGACGCGGTAGTCGACGGGGGATTCGTCGACCAGGGCGCGCACTGGGTGGTCGGCCAGGTCGACCAGGTAACCTGCTCGGCTTGTTCTGCGGAGGCACGCGAACGTCGTCGAGGTCGTGATGGCGAAGGCGACTTCGGGCAGGTATCCCAAAGTCGATGTGGCTCGTCAGGCGCAGACCACAGCCGACGGATGCACAATGGTGCAAGTCGGGCCAATCGTCTGCGCGCACCTGCGGGTGTGCGCACTGCTGTCTTCTACCGATGCAACGCTGGACAGCCGCGCTGCTGCAGCGTTGGCATGCCGTCGACCTGCTGTGTTGGCAGGCCGCGTTTCTGCAGTGCTGGCGCGGCTCCACTACGCAACGCTGGCAGGCGGTCGACCATGCTGTGCTGGCAGTCGACCAGCCTAGCTGCAAAGTTGCTAGGTTCCTGATGTAGTCATTCTTGCCATTGCCAGTGCAATCATTATGTATTCTCAACGTGAAACTCTTGCATTTTTGCCCTGTGAATACACAAGTGCTAGAGAACGCAGAGAAGCTACGATCACAATCACACAACTCGTGCCTATCCCCTGATCTAGCTCCAGACCATTGTAGAGTTAATCTCCGCAAGCGGACCTGCGTCGGCATCTGCACAAACATCCTCATCGTCGTCATCATGTGTGGGAGCTGGTGCCGTTGGACCTGGGTCAACGGAAAATTTCGGAGTCGGAGTGCCAACAGGTGGACATGTTACATAAGCGGTTGGTTTAAGCTTGTAACGGAGTTTGGTGAAATTGATAGAGAGACGAGTATCGATGAGTACTAGAATGTCAGGCACAGTGATCAACTATTTTTGTTACTTAAGCACTGGATCAAAAGTTGGGTATTCATTGGTGAACCACCTTTAGCCCCCTTGTGTGCCATGGCACATGCGGGGATAACTCAATCAACGGGAGCTAGACTACGGGTTAGGCACGGGGTGGGAGTAATCTATGCATTCATTACTTAGTCGTTTCCTTGTGTGCTCACTACTTGCTGGTTCACGTGGGAAAATGGCAAGAGTTTCACTAGGAAAAGTTGACAACAATGGTCCACAATGGCAAGGCAACAACGACTACATCAGATGCTAGCACGCAAGTTGGTCGACTGCCAGCGCAGCACGGTCGACCACGTTCCAGCACGACTTGGTCGACCGTGCTCCAGCAGTGCAATGTCGCGGCCTGCCAACACTGCAAGTCGACGGCATGCCATCGTTGCAGCAAGGCGGTTGCACAGCGTTGCATCCGCAGGACAGCAGTGCACCCGCTTCGCAGGTGTTCGCATATGATTGGCGGGCTGTGTCTTGTCACCTGCACAGAGCACACACCAAATCGTCCTCGTGCTGACTGCGGAGATAACTTCAGCAACAGGAGCTAGACTACGGGCTATGCACGGGTGCTCGTGTGATCTCTGCGTCCGTTCGTTCCTTAGTCATTTCCAAGTACACACTACTTGCTAGTTCACGGGGAGAATTCGCAAGCGTTTCACTAGGAAAAGTTGACAACAATTATAGCAACAACATTGGCATGCAAGACCACATCAGAATTAGCAAAGCTGCAGGTCGACTTCCACTACAGCACGGTCGACCATGTGCCAGCACGACTTGGTCGACCGCGCTCCAGCAGAGCAAAGTCGCGGCTTGCCAACGTTGCAAGTCCACGGTATGCCATAGCTACAGCAGGTCGGCTGCACAGCGTTGCACCCGCAGAACAACGGTGCACCTGCTTGGCAGGTGCGCGTAGCTGGTTGGTGCGCCACTCCTTGTCACGTGCACAACGCAGACGCTTGGCAGAGTCCACGCCAATGACTGCACCCACCAGCCACGCCGACCTTGGGATACCACCCCCGAGGTCGTGTTGAAATGTATTTGTATACATTCATATAAATGCCTACAGTAGTCTAGTGTAGTTATCTTAGTTTCCTGCTCGGTGGTGTACCATTTGCCTAATTCCTTGCCTATATCTTGTATGCCCTCTACTAGTGAACCCCTTTTTGGCTTGCATCTTCCCTCGCCACTTTCCTTCTCGTCACTCTCGCCTAGGTCAAACCCTAGGCCCCTAATCTTCATTCTCGACATGGTACAGAGCACGTAACATCCTGGCCTACTGTTTTCAACTTCTCCATGGGCCCACCACGTATTCCTCGTTTCATGGCGGCCGTCGCGCCCTTAGTTGCGACTGACGTGACGGGC